TATGATATTTAACTATGTGTCTGTGATACTCTCCTGTCCTCGTAGTTTGCTGTGACCTTACTGGCTCAGTATGTACGTTGTTTCTTTACCATTAGAGAAGAACGATTCCAGTCAAAGGGAACGAGACTGACTGAATTCAGTCTGATAAACCGGGTCTATGGACGCCATCCAGGCTGGTCAGAGGTCAAAGGACAAAGATGGTGCACCCACTTTGGAGTTGTCCAAAGATTCAAGAGTCCAGTTGTACAAACCGCTGCTGTAAACATCCTGTCGGTCCATTACGGTAGGACGGAAACCTCTGGTCAAACATTGGAAAGCGTCTTTGTGCCACACCGGCCTACAACAGTTACCATACAGGCTGCTGATGAGGTGGAGGATCACTCTACATATCTATATCTATATATATGAATACAAACAGCAGTTTACTGTTACATACACTGAGGAGTAAAGCTGTACACATTCACACATTACATAAGTTTGTCTTTCATGTTTTATTACTTATTTATGTATTTTATTGTATTTATTTATTTTCCTGCTTTTTGTTTTGACGTATTTTCTAACGTTTCTTTTTGCTCAACGTCAACTTGATTCTGACGTCTGTGGTTGTTACACCTCCAAATGTTTTATCGTGAAATCAATAAACTAATAAAGTTATGATTTTACTAAGAGAAAGGGGGGAAAGGTTTTTATTGTGTGCTCTGTTTTATGTCTATTAATTCCCTGTTAGCCTCGTGTGTGTGTTGTTATTGACTTGTTGTTGTTTCAGCTGCAAACCTGGTGGAAAATACACACAAAGTGTAAATGAAAGTTAATTAATCTAATAAACTAACACTTAAACATTAAATGATGCTTTTAGGGTATTATTGTGTGTGTAAGATTATATTTTATGACAGCCTTCAGTATTCCTGCAGCCATTATGTGGAATAATCTCCAAATTGAAGCTCTTTGGTATCACATTGTGCAGATATACAGGTTCCAGGTCTACTGAGGTTAGTGTCCACTTCTTTATAAAAATACATGTTTTTGTTCCTTTATGGCTCTTTATAAAGGTGTTATATATATATATATATATATATATATATATGATTAAGAGCTTAGCGGTTTGCATATATGTATGTAAATGTGTGTAATTGTGTTAATATGTGTATATTTTATATTTTAGTCTCCTCAGGTAAATGTTCAGGAGTAATTTAAGTCTCCAGAAACCTCAAATAAAACGATATTATTGATCAGAACAGGTTGGTGCATCTTAAAATTGCTCACTTACAAACATTTGGCTTGTTTTTTTCGTGATTTGATGGCGGAAAATAACGTTTTTACTGAGAAATGCTCTCACAGGCAGAGCAAATCTTTTTGAAAACACATTTATATCTATATATATATATAAGTAGATTTTTACAGTACAAAGCTACTTTTTTTACTATTATTGTAAAATGATATTAGTACTGTTGAGTTTTAATCCATATTTTACAGTATAAATAGACATTTTTACCATGAAAAGAAGCAGTTTTGTCATATGAAAATACCGTATTAATGCTGTGACGGTGGTTTTTTGTGCAATTTAATATTAAAAAACGACTTTCTTCTGTATAAATTCCTTTAAAATGTTGCATAAATAAAGGTTGAGAGATCACAGTGTTTTATACAGAAACTTTAACCCATTTAGAGTCTTTTACTATCGTTGTTTCACCATTAAATCTACAGACGTTTTTCTCCGTTTAGACACTGTATGTCCTCCGTACGGCAGCAGCAGCAGTGTTTCCTCTGTTTATTACCTTCATTTGCATGTAAATTAAAGCTGCTGTGTAGCTGCAGGGCCGGTGGTGTCCACTGTCTGCAGTCCACTGCTGCACACACACACACACACACACACACACACACACACAGATACAGGCTGTGTAATTGGAAGGGAAATGTTAATTTGTCTAATTGTTTTGAATCCCACTCTGTGATTTCACACACGTGCACTCGCTCTGCTTTTATTATGCAATTATGCATGCATGGAGTGAATAAATGATATTATCCTTCCTCTCTGTTTCTATTGGATAATTACAGAGGCCCCCTTCCTCCCCCACCTCCCTCCCTTCATTCTCCCCCACTGATCTGAGGCCAACAGCCGAGTGGAAGAAAACAGGTAGAGGCAAAGATCCAGTCAGCCTGTCACAACATTTACCTTTGAATTTGACAAATTGATCTCAGCCTACTGTTACCCTCTATTTTCTTTCTTTCTTTAAAAAAAAAAGGGAGGATGGGGGGAAGGAAAAAGGGGGGAGAATACTTTCTTTGGACAGACTCCAGAGCGATTATAGAAGAGACAAACTCTTCCTATAAGGGGGAGGATGACAGATGACCTCCAGGCTGGAGGAAATAGCCGCGTTTCATCAGGAAGAAGCTCACTCGATAAGTAATCTGGCCCCAAATAATTACACTGAAAACAGCTGCAACACCATCCATCTATCTATCTATCTATCTATCTATCTATCTATCTATCTATCTATCTATCTATCTATCTATCTATCTATCTATCTATCTATCTATCTATCTATCTTTGGGTATAAAGGATAAAGTTTCTCAGCCTGATGATTCATTCTCTGCTCAGAACCACCGCAGGGCTCCTTCTCTCTTCCCCGTTTATCTTTTACTGTATTTTAAAGTCACATCTGTTCTGTTTCTGTCTCTCGGCGGATAAACGACGTGGAAACCTGCCGAGGCCGACGGAGGTTTGCATTTTATTTTGGGAGGAAAACAGGCCGATAAAAAGCTGCAGTTTGCTGCTTTATGAACACACGCTTCAGTTCTGCTGGTTTTTGACACAAACTCACTTTTTAAATAAAAGAATTCATATTAAATACAATGTTTGCAGCATAGCTCAGATTTGAAGTGTTTTTCTGCTACATTTTTGTACAAAATCTAATATTTTCTGCTGCTAATTTGCCCCAATAACAAACAAAAGTAGAATTAATTAAATTCAGGGTTTGTATTTAATTTAGAAATCATCATTTATTTCATTACTGCTGGAATTTCTCTCCAGATTTCTCTTTTTAGATTTAAAAACATTTAAAAAGCAGAACTTGGTTGAACTATAGTTGGAATTATTATTTGTAAAGAATGTATTGATTAACAATAATGTTCTTGTTATTGATACGTTCATGAAGCATCCTGATAAGAGAGTGGAAGTTATAATGTGAATAATAATGAACAAAGAGAAGAAAGGTGGAAACAGGCAGATTGTTGGGTTGGTTTGTTTTTGATGTTAACGTTTAAATAAGAAATAAAATGTAAAATATAAATCTTCTTTCAGGCTGTTGGATTTATTTTGTGTCTTAATATTTTTGGAGGTTTTTTTTATGTCGCTGCGAGGCCTCGACCTGCTTCCTCCCTGCGCCTGAACGCATCACAGACACACACACACACACACAAAGAAAGGAAGAAAGAAAGAAAGGAAGAAGGATCCCCTCCTCTCTCCTGCAGCTCCAAACACTTTCTTATATTTGTGTTGGGGCCCGCAGAGGCTGCTGATGAAATGAGTGAACACAGAGACGGAGAGAAGTAATTTCATGCTCCGCAACGCTTTGAACAGCGGCTGATAGCGGCGCGTAAATCCAACCTCCCCTCCGAAAGCAGACCTATGAATATGGATTCAGTTGTCCTCCACTCACTTGAACCAATGAGCTGCGACCCCCCCCCCCTCCTCCTCCTCCTCTTCCTCACACACACACACACACACACACACACACACACACACACACACACACACACACACTCTGTATTAATTGAATATTCGGTGTCAGCCGCCAGAAAAAAATGGGTCAGTGTGTTTCCTGATATTTTCTCTTTTTTTCCAATAAAAAAGTGTTTATTTGGAAACATGGTTTAAATGTACATAATATAACCCCCCCCTCCTCCTCACCCCCTGCTCCTCTTCATGGGGGAGTCTCTCAGTCTGAAGTGTCAAAACAACAAGAGCATCGCCAGGAAATTACGCACCAAGTAAAAACCTTGTGTCTCCTGTAATAATAATAATAATAATAATAATAATAATAGTGATAATGATAATAATAACAATAATAACAATAAGCATCCACTCTGTGAGAACTGTAGTAATCCCACAGATAAAGAACTCCATTCTTATAGAAATATGAGAGCAGCAGCACAATGTGGCTCCGTGATGCCTTCAGGGTCCGATAAAGAATCACACAGGATATTATAGGAATTGACAGATATTATAGATATTCCTTATTATTGCTGTTATTAATCTTCTTTTGATTGATTTGAATTAAATATTCCTGTAATTATGATTCTCTTCCTGTGTGTCTGTGAGGGCGGGAACCCCCCCACAAAGGAAAAAGGCCTTTATTTAAAGAGATATTTGGATTTTGCGCGTTTTATTTCTTCTTTTGATTATTAATTTATATTTTCTGTGAAGTTTTGAATCATTTTCTACATCAGGAATAAAATCCTGCTGGAAAAACACATTTACTTTATTTATTTGATGATTTGGGGGCTAAAAAAGGTCAAATTGTTCCTGTAAAAAGCCCCAAATGAACAGAATGAACAGAAAGAAGAGTTCGGCTCATATTTCTATAATGCTGCAGTAATAATCCGGATCGATAGTATTGATCGGGATCTTCTGTAGGATTCTTACAGTTCTGCTTGGTCCGTTAAAAACCTCTTTGCTGCTACTCTCGCGGTGTTTTGAGGGTGTTTGCGGGCGCTGCGGGGGGGCGTCCAGAACCAGAACATCAGGCTGGTTATGGCTGCTGAGGAAGAGGAGGAGGAGGAGGAGGAGGAAGGGGGTCCATTCCCCGGCTCGGGAGGGGGGGTCAGAAATAAGCTAAATGTGGTCTCTTTCTGTCTGTGTCAGTCCAGGCTCTGGTTCCGATAAAATCTTTGGTTTTTTTGCGGGGGGGGCTCAGTCCGGAGTCCGTCCCGCTCTGGAGGAGGAGGAAGAGGAGGCTGCTGACAAAGAGGAAGATCCGCTCCCACCTCCCCCCCCCCACCCTCCAACCTCCCCCGTCCTCGTCATTAAATTAGATATAATATATTTACAATGTACAGAGAGCGGGGCGCAGTCCGGCTCCGGGTCCCGGTACCGGGTCCTGCGGGTCCGGGTCCGGGTCCGGGTCCTGCGGGCCCCGGCTCAGTCGCTGTCCTCCTTGTCCTCCTGGATGGTGGTGGTGGAGTGGTTGTACAGTCCCTGCGCCATCAGCTGCAGCGCCAACCCGTTCTTGAAGCCGCTCGCCTTTTTGATCTTGGCGCGTTTGTTCTGGAACCAGATCTTGATCTGGGACTCGTTGAGGTTCAGCTCCTGGGCCAGAGACTGCCGCCGCTGCTCCGTGATGTACCGGTTCACCTGGAACTCCGTCTTCAGTCTCTGCAGCTGCTCGGCGGTGAACGCGGTCCGCGGCCGTTTGTCCTCCTTCCCGCTCTTGGACTTTTTCAGTTTCCGTGTCCTTGGGCCTGCAGTAAGGACGAAAGGACAGCGGGAACATGAATATTCAGCGCGTATTGACCACTTATTGGCGATCGATCGGTGTGATCGGGAGAGGCGGGCTGTGGAGGAATATTCACATTTATCGATATCTGATCGGAAAGTCATTTTATTGAACAGAAATAAAGTTATAAATAATTTATTATATATTATTATATAATAAAGTTTTATTTCTTTTATTTTACTGAATTTAAAAACCGCCATCACATTAACCCTTATTTATATTTATTAAAAAAAGATACCTAAACCTAAATTAACGATTTTTTTTACTGAATTTAATCCCACAGAAATGTGTCCCTGAACACATCATTACATCTGACATTTTTTAACGTTATTTTTTAAAAGTAATCTAAATAAATAATAAAAACAACAATAAACAATTACATTTACAGTTAAACTGCGGTGGCAGCTACACACACAGGACAATATATTACTATTATTATTATTATTATTATTAAAATAGGAAATGTTCAGATTTATTATAATAAAATCATTATTATAAACGTATAACTACAATAATAAATAAACAGGATTAACGCGCCAACATGATCTTTAATATATTAGTAGGTAACAATAACAACTACCACAATAATAATAATAATAATAATAATAATAATAATAATAATGAGTCTTGTTAATATAATAATAATATAGCCTATTAGGTCCATAAATTAAAATTATCACATAATCACACAGACTGTTAACACGCGCCTTATTACAGCCTCACACACACACACACACACACACACACACACACACACACACACACACTCATATTAAAACCTAAATAAATAAATAATAAATATAAATATAAATGAAACCAACAGAATAAAAAGCTGGAATATTGAGGATTTAAAAATAAAATCTGAGGTTGAAATTAAAGTGTTTTTAATGTTTTTATTTGCAGAATGTGGAAGAAATAATAATAAATAAATAATAATAATAAATAAATAATAATAATAAAAGGTTTCTGTCTCTCTTTGCTCATTAACACAATCACATGTGATCAGCTCATTTCCGGTTCCACTGACAGTAAAAGTGATTTTAATGAATTCAAAATGTCTCCGGACGGAAGTTATTGACCTTTAATCCTCACATTATAATATTTTATATTTTATATTTTATATTTTATATCGACACAAACTGAACATAGAGCTGCAGACCCCCCCCAACGGACCCAGGAGTTCTGGTTCTACAGGTTCCTTCAGGTTTCATGGATTCATCTTAAACTCTTCAAACTGTCACACAAACAATATTCACACAAACAATATTCACACAAACAATATTCACACAAACAATATTCACACAAACATCGAGTAATTTCCTCTTTCCAGGAACAGAAACAGGAAGAATGAAAGTCACAACTATACACAACTATATTTAAATACAATCAAATATAAATATAATTATCTCAGCTGCACGTTTATTCTCATAGTTTATAACTTATAATAATATCTGTAATATCTATAATATAATAATATATATAATATCAGAATCAGAAATACTTTAATAATCCCAGGGGGAAATTACTTTTATATAGGCTAATAATATCTATAATATTATCTATAATATAATTTCTACAGCTGGTTTATGTTTTAGTTAAATAACAATTTAATTATCTTATTTTGAAAGAATCCCGGCTGCTGATTTAAAGAGAAAATAAAATAAAACATATTTTAATTCAGCAGATTTACACACAGATTATATTAAATACAAATATTATAATACTGTTATTATTGTTTGTTATTCATTTGTTGAAAGGTTGTGTAAAAATACATTTAAAAAGTAAAATATAAAGTATTCATTTTACATATTTGTGATTATAGATTTATATTTAATATGTAATATTGAGTTTTTTTTATTTATTTAAACACTGAAAATGTTCGTAGAGAAATTATAAAGAAGCTCAACTCTGACCTGACAACACAAACACACAATAATATAATAATTATTTTAATAATTATATTATTTTACTTTTTAATTTAAAACAACAGAAATCTTTTAGAATTAAAATGATTATTTAGTTTTAAGGATGAATGGATCAAATTGGGTGAGCTAACATTTTAAAATCATTATTTCAAACATTCTTTAAAAAACTAAAAGAATATTTGTTTATTTATTATTTTTAAATTTAAGATTTGTGCAGTAGATTTAAAGTGACTTTAAGGTGGAATTATTCCTCCTTTAGAAACTTTTGCCTTACCAGATGAGGGCCTGTCCGAGTACCGGGTGCAGTAGACCCAGGCCGGCCACAGCAGCGGCTGGCTCTCCGGTGTGGCCGCCCCGGTTCCGTTCAGCACCACCAGCGAGGAGGAGGTGTTCTCCCCGGCCCCGCCGCCCGTCCTCTCCTCGGCTTTCACGCCGCTGCCCCCGGTGGAGCCGGCGGCCGCTGCGGGTCCTCCGCCCCCCCCGCCGCCGCTGCTCTTTTTGGGACTCGCCAACGAGGTGGAGGAGGCGGAGGACGAGCTGCTGTCGGTGCTGCAGTTGGAGTCCTGGCTCGGTGTCCCGGGGAGGCTCGGCCTGCTGACCGCCGGGTGGTGGACCCGCTCCCGGCCGGAGCTGTGCGCCCTCTCCCGCGGGCCCAGCTCCTTCTTACAGCCGAAGTCCGGCCGCAGGATGTTGTCGATGAAAAAGTTGGTGGTTCTGTGGGCCTGCTGGGCCACCTGCAGGGGCAGGATGGGCGGCGAGGGCAGGCTGGGAGACGGGGAGACACTCTCTCCCTCGCTGCTATCCGTACTGTTCAGATCCCGCTGCTCCTCCATCGCTGCTGGCTCTCAAGGACTCTCGATCCACTTCCACTCTGCGGACTGTTTGTATCCACAACCAGACACCAGGAAGCACTAACACATAGTCACTCTCTCTCCGGATCGGTTCTGGATGGTGGAACTAGTCTCTCCGGATCGGTTCTGGATGGTGGAACTAGTCTCTCCGGATCGGTTCTGGATGGTGGAACTAGTCGCGCATCCTGGCTGCGTAAAGGCGCTCCGGCGCGTCATGGTCCGGGACTGACGAGCAGACTCTGGATCCGGTCGCTGTTTGCGCGCTGCTCTCACACACCCGGAGCTTTTCACCGCTGTATGACAGTGGGATCTTCACACAGTCCTCACACACACACACACACACACACACACACACACACACACACACACACACACACCAAAGCGCAGCGGGCCAATCAGCGGCGAGGACACTTTTGGACAGGGGGTGACGATGTCCAATAATGTCAGCCGTCTCTGAGCCAAAAGGGGAGCAGCGAGCACGAGACACCAAACAAGAGATTATCACTGCTCCTCCGCGCGCCTTCAGCCTCGTATCACACACACACACACACACACACACACACACACACACACACACACACTCACTCACTCACCTGCACTCCAACATCTCACACAATGCTGCGTTCATGTTCACCACATTCTTGATGTGGAGGGCACTTTCTCTCACGCGCAGACACACACACACACACACACACACACACACACACACACACACACACACACACTCAGGATGGAGAACAGGCCTGCGGCTGCGCACTAGCTCTGCGCCATATCTCCTTATTCCTTCTGTTTTTATCCAAACTCTTCCTCCTACATCTTCATAGCGTCCGTTTAACATTTAACAACACGCTCCCTCCTCCTCCTCACCCTCCTCCTCACCCTCCTCACCCTCCCTCCCTCCCCTCCGAGGCGCGCGGCCACCATTGTCAGCCGGTATTCTTCTCCAGGCAGCGCGCGCTCTTATCTCCCCGCCGCGAGGGAGGATAATTTATAGGTTTTAATTACTCCGCGTTCCGCTGATCATCCGGACGTTCATCATCAACCGGGCTGTGGCGGGAAGAGCGAGGAAGGGCGACTGAAAGCTTCCTGTCACCGTCAGCGCGCCAAACACTTCATCAAAGCGCGCGTAAAGTGCGCTGCTGGAGGAGCGCGAGGAGGGCGCGCACAGGAGCGACCGCGAGGAAACTTTATTAAAACCTCTGATCGATTCTAACGGATCAATAATCAATGATCTGATCATTAGTGATTATTTATCAGTGTTCTATAATGAGCGCGGGATTATTCAGCGTTTATTTATTGTTTATTTACAGTCTGATTGTTTGTTTGTCAACATTATACTGATCATCACACACACACACATAAAGGATCCGGAGCGTCATCAATCACTGATCAATACACTGTAAAAACAGAACTTTAATGAATACATTAGAACTGTTTGTGTTATTACAGTCAGTTTCTATCAGAACTGAGTTTTAATCCAAATGTAACCATAACAACAGTTTCTATGGTAGTTTAATAATATAAAGGTGTTTTATGTGAAATCTATTTACAGTTTATAATAAATAAACAATTCTTTATTCTGTATAAAGTCCTTTTAAATGTTAAATAAATAAAGTTTATTATTTATTGTGTTTGATACAGAAACGTCTTTTACTGTCACAGTTAATTATAGTCGGTTCAAATGAATACAGACGACTTTTAATGTTCTCACCTTTAACCATTCTGGGAAATTATTTTAAAAGGAGAAAAATACACATTTTGCCTGTTTTTTTAAAAAAAGGAAGAAAATTGTTTCACAATGAAATAAACGTTTCAGCTGAGAGTTAAAATAAACACATTTTTACTGGATATATTATTATTATTATTGTTATTATTATTATTATTATTGTTATTATTATTATTGTTATTATTATTATGTCACATTGTTATATTTATTAGATATTAAATGATCTTGGTGCTGTTGGAGATCTAAAATCTGTCATAATGAAACTATTGCTTCATAAAAATGTTCAAACCTATAGTGAGACCTACACACACACACACACACACACACACACACACACACACATTTATTGGTATTTATTGTGTATTTGTGTGTTTTTGTTGTTTAAATGGGCCACATCCTGTTACATTTAAATTAATGCAGAGATCACATGACTGTTAGCATGTAGCATGTAGCTTTGATGTTACTGTATCGACTGCTGAACTCATAATGTGGTTTAAAGTCTCTGCGGGAGCTTCAAGGTTCCTGCTCGTTCTAATACACAGGGGGTCCCAATCTGAGGGTCGGGACCCCCACTAGGGGTCGCCAGAGCTTCGCAGGGGGGGCCTGCTTGATTTTAAGGGGTTGTTAGGAAACTTTAAAAATATACCCAGCAGGTCTATAAAACAGTGTTTGGTTCATTTATGTGAGGAAAAATCAAGTAATTAGTTACTTTTAAAGTTTATATTCACAGAGCGTTCACTCTCTGATGCACTTATGTTCCATATATTATATTGTTTGTTTTCTGCTACTGAACCCAAAAAGGAAGATTTCAGATAGAAAAGTACACAGTTAAAACCACAGAGCTGATAGAACAATGAGAAGAAAACACTGAATTTCTTTAAAAATGAGCTTATTAAGTCTGTTTGATTGTTAAATAATATAATTAATACATTATATAAAAAGTCCCTTAAACAGGAAATAATCTGCTCATAATTCATCCAAATCTCTGAGTTCACTGTTTGTGTTCATTGGTTCATTTTAAATATAATGTGAAATAAACATTATTATTATTAATATATAGACTTTCTATTATAAACACATTAAATCTGCAGGTTGGAGAGTCTGAAGCCGATCTCATTATTATTGATATTAAACATCAAACTATTTCATCTTAAAGACAGTTTCTGTTTTATTGATCATAAAAAAACATTGGAAAGGAAGCAGAATAATTATTAAATATTTTACTGACATTTAACAGCTTTTCCAGAAACAACTGACTCCCAGTTGCAGATGAAGAGCACATCTCCTCTTCCTCACTGTTAGAGGCCTTCAGAGAGAAAGTGGAACCACAGCGACCTCCAGTGGCCACAGACAGTAACAGGTAGAATAAAGAGTCAACCTGGTTGGTAAATCTATAAATAACTTAATGATTATATTTTACTTTAACAAACAATTATAATTTATTTACATTATTTTCTTGATTTTATTAATTATAACTTTTCTGTTCACTCTATAATTTGTTAATGCTTTGGCAGTAATGTCTTTATTTCCATTAAAGATTATTGTATTTAACTGGATTGTAACACTGCTTCAGAGCTTTAATATCTTTATTTCCATTTACTGCAATTTCATAAAGCATGTTTTCATCCATTTGAGATTAAAATCTTAAACAAAACTGTACACTGTTGGAAAGAATTTGATAGTTTATAGTTAAAAACATTGTGTAGACCAGAAGTTTAGATTATTATTTGGAATATAAACTTTAAAGGATGAAGGAACAATGAGGACCTGAATACAATCTATATTCACAGAGCCTACAAGCTCTGGTAAGTAAATGATTAAAACATTTAAAATACAGAATAGAGACAGAAAATTCTATAAAAATATCAGAAAACTTCAATTCAATCAGATCAATATTCACAGGAAATAATAAAATCTCTGCAGTTACTCACTGTTTGTGTTCATTGATCAGTTAATCAGCTGTATTTGTTGAATATAATCGGGTCCCTGAAGGTTGGGATTCAATATTGTTATCATCATATAAGAAACATTCAAAGAAATTAACTAAATGTTGAGATATAAACACAAAAAGTTTTATTTCAACCATTAAACTCAAGAAGACCTGCTGGCCCCCCTGTGAAGCTGTGGCGCCCCCTAGTGGGTGTTGGGAACCAGTGCAGATAATAATGATCTATCAGAGGACTGATTGGGAGTCTCTATATTAATGACTCATTACATGATTGATGCTGGAAATAAAGGTTTTACTTCCTTAAAACAGCCGTTTTTTGAATGGAGTTTGGTGTGACAGTGTGGAGCAGAGGGGATTTGAACCTTAATAATTCCCATGAACTGAGCTGACCGACCTTCTAATACTGAACCTTGTAAACGGCAGAAAGTAACAGGAAGTGGACATAAACCCTCCTGTTTTCTTCTTCTGTGGTAGGAAAAGGTATATTAATAAACAACAAACCACTGAATTCATTTACAGTAACTTCACAATGGACAGAAACAGTTAGTAAAGAGTCTGAATGACAGAACAGACACTCATCAACCTATATTTCTTTATTTTTTGCCCCGCTGGCTGAAGGATTTTAGCTCCTAACAGCTAAAAAGAAATAGAATATTCTTATTTTATTGTATTAAATTGGCAAAAAGCTTAGAATTTACATTTACCACCAGTGAAATTAGAGATTTTCACCCAAAAGGGGCGTGGCTTTTCTCCCAATAGGGGGCGGGGCTTGACTTAAGGGGCTCTCATCTATAAAACGGAGCCATTGTTAATGTTGTAAGTTACACTTCATCTTCTCCTGTAATCACAGGTTTAAAATGTCTGCTGTGAAAAAGGACAACATGGATGCTTTTCATGACGCTAACGTGTCTCCTCGCTTCCTTTCCTTGTGTGATAATAAAACACTGAGATTTATTCATCCTGTAACCATGTGTGTGTCTGTGAGAATAAATTGTGTAAATGAAGAGTTTATCATTTAAAACATCCAGTATTTACTCTCTTTTAGCTGTTTCTGGTCTCCACCGACTCCAGAGGGAAATATCTGACTCTTAAATGCTCTACAGTGTTCACCAGCTGGTCTCTAACTGTGTCTGTCTGCTGTACGGTGGCCTTGTACTGCTTTGGAAACAGCTGTTTGTGGCTGCTGGAGATGACGCTCATGAGAACAAAAAAACATCAGCTAAAAGTGGCTAAAAATCTCTGTAGAGCCGAAGTGGGAATTTTATAAGTGGGTTTGCCTTTATTAGCATAACATGTTAAGGCTATGTTCACACTGTTAGTGTTAGCGCCCAATTCTGATTTATTGTTCCACCAGAGTCCAGAGACAAAAACACTCATTTTACCTTCAGATCATCGTAACTTCATTCAAAGTGGACAGAAACAGAATAAAACTCAATAAAACCGTCTCTGTTAGTGTTTCCAACAATCACCAACTCTCCTGAGAAGCTAACATTAATCCTTGGGGGCAACTGCAGTGTGAAAGTGAGTCCACTAACAGTAGTTGTTGTTTGTTCCACTAACAGTAGTTGTTGTTTGTTCCACTAACAGTAGTTGTTGTTTGTTCCACTAACAGTAGTTGTTGTTTGTTCCACTAACAGTAGTTGTTGTTTGTTCCACTAACAGTAGTTGTTGTTTGTTCCACTGACAGTAGTTGTTGTTTGTTCCACTGACAGTAGTCGTTGTTTGTTCCACTGACAGTAGTTGTTGTTTGTTCCACTAACAGTAGTTGTTGTTTGTTCCACTAACAGTAGTTGTTTGTTCCACTAACAGTAGTTGTTGTTTGTTCCACTAACAGTAGTTGTTGTTTGTTCCACTAACAGTAGTTGTTGTTTGTTCCACTAACAGTAGTTGTTGTTTGTTCCACTAACAGTAGTTGTTGTTTGTTCCACTAACAGTAGTTGTTTGTTCCACTAACAGTAGTTGTTGTTTGTTCCACTAACAGTAGTTGTTGTTTGTTCCACTAACAGTAGTTGTTTGTTCCACTAACAGTAGTTGTTGTTTGTTCCACTAACAGTAGTTGTTTGTTCCACTAACAGTAGTTGTTGTTTGTTCCACTAACAGTAGTAGTTGTTTGTTCCACTGACAGTAGTTGTTGTTTGTTCCACTAACAGTAGTTGTTGTTTGTTCCACTAACAGTAGTTGTTTGTTCCACTAACAGTAGTTGTTGTTTGTTCCACTAACAGTAGTTGTTGTTTGTTCCACTAACAGTAGTTGTTGTTTGTTCCACTAACAGTAGTTGTTGTTTGTTCCACTAACAGTAGTTGTTGTTTGTTCCACTAACAGTAGTTGTTTGTTCCACTAACAGTAGTTGTTGTTTGTTCCACTAACAGTAGTTGTTTGTTCCACTAACAGTTGTTGTTGTTTGTTCCACTGACAGCAGTAGTTTCTGCCACTGACAGACTCAGGTTGTTATTGTCAGTGTCTGACAGCATTATGGAAAGGATCCCTACAGAGATAGACCTTTAGTTTAACCACAAACAGCCGTAATATCACTATCACTCTCCACCAGACTCCAGAGACAGAAACACTCATTTTACCTTCAGATCATTGTAACCTCATTAAAGTGGACAGAAACAGAATAAAACTCATTGAAAGCGTCTCTGTTAGTGTTTCCAACAATCACCAACTCTGGTTTGGTGGAAATAAATCCTTAATTCCCCGACCAGCTATGGACACAAACCACAGAGAGGCTGCGATACAACACAGGCAGAGGGAGTGAGACACCATGTGACTCTGTATCTGTATTTAGAGAAAAGATGTTTGCTGATGTATTAATGCTTCAAATCTCATTACATAACCTTTAAGGAAACTGAAAGCTGTGGTTGGTGTTTTACTGTTTGTTTCTCCAACTTTTCTCACGATTTCTGCACATCCATGTTTTTTTCCATCAAAGCTTCAATCCGAACATACAAAAAAAAATGCACAACAACTCAAAGTGAGTAAAGTCTCAGTTCTGCTTTACTGACAGACAGTAGTAGGATGAAAGGTGAGCGAACGACGAGAAGAAGGAACAAGAAGAAAAAATGAGATTATAGCTGAGACAAGTGGGAATTTACAGTCAAGAGGAGAGGAAGTGATTTCTCTTCTTCTTTTTGTTTACTTTTTGCTCTTCCACCTGCGTATGAAACTCACACTGTATCTGACCAGAAAGGAAATCTGTATGAATAAAGTTTGAGTTTCTGATATTATATATTATCCCAGGAATCCATCCATCGCTCCTCTGAGGGTAATAATATGATATAATCTGTCCCAGAAGTTATTTTAATTATTTTCTAGTTGAATTTCTAGATTTTAAACAAACATTTCACATAAATTTACAATAAAAACACATTTTATTTCCTTCTTTGGTCCGTGTTTGCTGCTGTTTGGTTTTATTTTTTCCTTTTGGATCAACGTCCAGGTTCCTCTGGTTGATTAGAGGATCACAGATCACCTGTTGATCAGGTTGTGGGTACCGACTCCTCGTCAGTGATGAAGAGCAGCGTGGTGGTTTCCCCTCTCGGCCAATCAGGGTGTTCCTGAAGATATAAGAGAGGCAGTCTGATCCTCTATACTGTTTACCTTCACTATATTCTGCATTTGATTTTATTCTATTTAAGACACTGAATTACCATTTTTAATTTGAAAGGGAGGCAATAATTGTAATAATAAAAATAATAATATGTAAGACAAAAAAGATTCATGAACTTTTGTTCACATGTTTTTTTACATTAATGATTAAATGTCAACTTGTTTTTTAATTGTGTTTTATTTGGTTTAAGTTGCTAAAATGGATAAAAAATTACTTTTGCATTTGATGCAACTCAACTCAACTTTATTCTGATGGAATAAAGTTGGTTGAACTCATTTTTTGGGGCTTTTTTTTATGTTGGCTCGGCTCAATTTTCAGTCTTACAACTACAGTATATTATTGAGTTTGCTCAACTTAAAAAAAGTTCACATATCTAACAAAAAATGGATGAAAAACGTTGCCTCAGTGTTTCTGAGTTTTGTTTTTACAGTGTTGATCCATATCTGATCAGCCCCGCCCTAAAGCATACCCTGCTTTATGGTCTGTTTTACTCTAAATGGGACCATCAGTTACTAAATGAACATCATGCTGTATGGAAGAAGACTGAAACTAGAGACTGAGACCAGAAACTCATCAGGAAACTGTTTACTGAGCTCATAAATCAACTGAGAAGTCGACTCATTTCTCTATAAGACTGAATGGTAATCAGAGTGGAGCTCCCTCTGGTGGTCATTGGAAAGAATGCAGGTTGAACACTTCACTGACCTGGAAGCTTTATCCATTTTATAAACTGTCAATGTTCTGGATGTTTATGTTTGTAACCTGTAAAACCTCTTTAAACCCACCAGGTTGCCTAAGTTCACCTCACAAATATAAATGTTTAAACATCGTTAGATTCTCCACAGTTTAATCCTTTCGTTCATTTTACAGAAACAAAGAGCCCCAAAGTATCAAATGAATGATTTGTAATTGAAGTTATTAGAATTAAAGGCCTGTTTTAAATAAAAGCTTATTATTAATTAAAGTTTTACTGTATATTTGCACTCAAATGTTTTTTGCTGTATTTTATATTCAGATATTAACTGGAGGATAAAACATGACAAACCACCCTCTGGGGGGTTAATCATCTGATCTGACCATCTGCAAACACACTTCAGCTTCATTCACAGAACTATTGTTACCAAGAAAACAACTTATGAAACTTTACACTTCTCCAAATGACGACCTCTGCTCCGATCATCAGTTTGGTTTGTTTATTTTTGGGACTATGGAGAAATCGCACACTTTTGGAGACAAATATGTTGAATGTGTTCACCTATTATTTCACTTCTTAATGATATTTCAGCTTTAACATACTTATTATTGTCATTATATTTTACTAAAAGTAAACTAAAAACTAAAACTAGGTGGGAAAAACACTTACAACGGGACTTTAATCAAATAAAAATATACAGGAAATAAAAATATACAGGTATTATAATACCTATTCTGACCAATGCCTCCATATTATAAAAAAAATAACTGAAACTGATAAAAAACTGAAACTAAACATTTTTAAACAATATAAACTAAACTAAAATGAGCAAACTAACTGAAATACAAACAAAATACAAAATAAAACCTCACAAAATTATAATGGCTCTTTAAGAGAGAGAATAATGTCTATCTCCCCCTGGTGGCCGACTGCAGTATCGCTCATAAAGCCTCACTGTTAGCAGATGGGACAAATTAAAGAATCTAAATATTGTCATTTTAGTTTGTTTTTATCATGCTGATGTTTTTTCAAGAGTTCAGTTTTATCATCAGTTTGGTTTTAATATGTTCTTTGAAGATATAAAAAAAGGGGATTTCATATCATGATTGACAGCTGAGTCCTGCTCGCCGTTGACCTCGATACAATAAACACTGTTCACTGCAAACAAACCATAAACGTACGACGAAATCACAGTTAAATGTTGATGTATACTTTCTGCGTATGGGAAAAAATTATTACAAATCTGACTTACTGCGTGCTGGCAACCCTCAAACAGTCCGACACTGATTACACACTATTGGTCTGTCTCTGAAATATTGACAATATAATAAATATATATATATATATTATATAATAAATATGCATATTGTGATGTTTTTTAGGCTTTTTTTTGCAATGAAACTGCAGGAGAAACTACAAAGATCTGTTAAATCTGAGAAGAAGTTGAAATCTGTGCAGAATTCACAGGAATTGTTTGACTTTATGTTAAATCGCAGCTTCCTGGAGGGACTGAAATCTGCTATTTGTTTCATTTCTAATCTTTCTGGATTCATCATCATGGATTACATATCAACTGAGGCTGCTGTTGATATATATCGCTTTGTGTGTGAGGGCGACTCATCACCAAAAAGTCTTACCATCAACACTGAAGTGTGACAGCTACATATCATTAACTTCAGGTCATAAAATATCATAAAATATCATAAAATATTAGAATATCCCCATGCAACAGTAGATAAAGTGAGCTCCCCCAGAAGCTGTGCTACAGTCCGCACACTGTGTAGGTTTCAGACTTTAACTGTATTGATGAGGAGGGTCGGGGTTGGTTTGGCCTCCCTGTACGAGGCACATTGGTATTTTGCTCTGTGGTTGAACCTGCAGTTGTAATCTGTTATTTCAACAGCTAACTTGCTCAACCTCTGAGTGTTGGGCAACGAGCGCTCAGAGAGTCTTAAAGCTCCAGTGTGTCACAGTGAGGAGGATCTATCGTCAGGAAGGTGATATAATATTCATAAGTATGTTTTTATCAATAAAGGGAGCCACCCAGTCTCAGCTGAGAGGACCGAGAACAGTCACACAGAGCAGAGACCTTGAACTGAGGAGGATCGCTGTTATCTTATCACCTCCAGACAGGAAAACAGGTTTCTGTCAGTGTTATTCAGGCCACAGCTGTAAGGAGGAGGAGAATACACTCAAAAAGGCTCAAGAAATGTTCAAGAAATGATGGATTTTGCTTCGACAGCCAATAAATAATCACATTTTATAAAGTTGGAGCCTCAGTAAGGAAGCCATCTTCTGTAGTCGTCCACTAAAGTAACAATTAACATTTAAATTTAAAGTGTAATTATGTTATTTTAACAGGCGATATTGCTGCTTTTTACATAATTTGTCTCCTTAGAGTTTATTTTTATATCGACTGTTTTTAGACGTGTTTCAGTCACTTTGAGCTGCAAGTGTCTGTATAAATAAAGTTAATGAAGCAGAGTTATATAATCTTTCTTGAGAAGGAAATACAACGAGGAGGTCGTAAGAAGTCTATCTTTAGAGAAATATTTCACAACACGCCCCATCTAACAATTCACTGTGACCCTCTCTCCCCGACTGAACAGAATAATCTCCCCGGTCATTCTACTTTATACTTCATATAAAAATACTCTTTATTGTGGTTTTGCAAGGCCTTCTTGTTGGAGGACCAGCTTCCTCAATCTGCATGGGCGTGCTGCTGCTGCTGCTGCTGAATTTTGTACATCTCAGCTGCAAATCAGACGCAGTTCCTTTCTCTGCTTCAATCTCCAGGAACTCTTTTTGTGGGGAGGTTGTGTTGCAATCCGGGGAGAGTCCCACGCTGCATCATGCCCTGTGTGTTATAAGAAGCACATAAGCAGTAAGAGAAAGGGGGACTCTGGAGAGAGCATGGACACCTCAGTGGACCGGGTCTCGTACACCCAAAGTAACCCTCTGTTTGACATGTCGCTCAGCAGGACGGATCTCTATAGTTTCCAGCCTGACGGTGAGTGTCGCCTTATTAATGTCCTCAGTGAAAGTTTATAGTATCAGCACTTAAAGTTGTGACTGAGCTGAGCACAGATGCAGTCAAACTTTTAAAATTGGTCAAAATATCATGCAACAGCAAAGTTTTTTCTTAACTTTTTGGGGGTTTTCTTTGATTTTTCCAGGAAAACTGTCAGTTAGATAGTTCTGATCTTTATAATTTTACATACAAAAACAGTTATAATGTAGATTCAGAAGGAAAAATCATCATCTGTTGTTTTTTATTGCCATTGTGCCAACCTTACAGACATTTTATGATGTATTCCTATGGGAGTGAGCACCTACGGAAGTTGCATTTCGTTTCACATGATCATTTTTCTAAGATTTCGATTGATTTTCAGGTAATAAATATATTTTTGAAGATATTTTTTAAGTTTTAAATTGTTTATCTGTGAAGACAAGTGAATTTATTTTTTCTCACAATAATTTTTTAAAGTTTTTATTTTTTACATCAATGAAAATTACTGGTGCTTTCCACTGTGAAACAAGAAAAACAACATAATGATAATAATTGTAATAATAGCAGCTTTAAAAACAGAGTTTACTAAGTGCTTTAACAACAGTGATACAGAAAATGGAATTAAATAAATTATATTCTATTCCTTTCAGGAACTTAAATATGCAGGAAAATATACATTTATAGAGGAAAAAAGCAGAACCAAAAATGACAATATTGTAGAGCTAAATGTCTAAAATGAGTCTTTCTGTATATTGAACCCTGGTTGTGACAGTTTCAGTTTCAGGAGTCACAGTTCCTGAATTCAGGCTGAGTGTATTTTTAATGTCGCACCAAGAAGACAAAGAAATCTCAGTTTCTACAATACCTTTAATGTCAGCCAGTGACAATAATAAGTTTAAAATGTAAATTTGTTATTATTTTCAGGTTGAGTTGGTTGGAAAAGACAAAAGAAACAATGATTTCATATAATTTATTTACATTGTGAGGAATCAAGCAGTGGATGGACAGTTAAAGCAGATAATACGGTGCAGCTGTGACCAGTAGATGGTAGCAAAGTTTCATCCACAGACAGAAACATGAAGGTTTATCCTGCAGACAGGAGCTCAGAAAGCACAGCTCTATGTATGAGATAACACAAAACCATACCACACAATAGATATCACTTTAATACACATATTATACTTATGGAAAAGGTTTTAACACGTGTAGATTTCACAGTTAGCGGAATTGAGGCAGAGCAGCCTGTAGACGAAAACTAGACAATATTCTCTCCATAAAATATGATCCAGTTTCACCCAAATCACTGATAAAGTTGTGTGTTTGTACAGTAATCAGTGAGCTAACTAACTAATGAATCTTCACTCTGTGTTGGTAAAAGTTGAAGATTGATTGACGGGTGGATGTCATGATTGGATTTTGATATAAAAACACAAAGAAATTGAGTTTTTTGTAAATTTTTGGGGTCATAAATTGTTAAATATGGGAACAATATTACTGAGGATTTGATCTTAAAGGGTTAAAATGACATTTTTAATTCCACCTGGACTTTAAATGGTGGTTTATTTCTAATAAAGTTACTAACATAACATTAACAGCTTAAAATACAGAAACATCTGATGTACTCTGATTATTATTCTGAGATTAAATGATGAAAAACATTTTAATGTATATTTAATATGATTCCTAGAAGCGGTATCCTCTGTTGGAGGGGACAGTAGTTTACCTCTCAGTCATAACCAGTTTGGTCTCGTGTCAGTTTCTCGACTTTTCTGCCAACAAAAAGAAACCCGTCTCCACCCCCCCCTTGAGATTTTCATTGTGACTGACAGCTGACATTTTCCACAGCTCATCCAAATGCTTTCGCGCTCGAAGCTTTGAACATGTATAAAAGCTCTGGGATCAGCTGGCTGAGCCGGGCTCTCCTGAAATGACTCCCAGGATGTGAGTTTGCAGCAGTTTTAATTCCTGTTGTGTGTTTCAGATCTGAAGCCTGCGAGGCCCCGAAGACAGTGGTGTTTTTACGTGATTGTTATTTACCTCATCCTGCAGACCGCCCTCAACGCCTTCCTCATTTATAAAGGTTACACCTGCTTTTACTTGTAAATGTGGACTCTAGAAAGTGATGTCGTCGTGTGCTGTAAACGGTTAATTCTTCCTCTTTGTTCCAGTCTTCACGTTGGAGTCTTCGCTGTATAAACCCCGGTTGGAGAAGCAGACGTCCAATCACATTCTGGATGGAGATCAGAGCGATGCAAGCCTCCAAACTCTCATCCACAACAACACCCAAGAAGCCAAGACCCTGAGGGGCGACCTGAGGGCCCTGCAGAGCCAGGTCCTCCCTCCGTTCATATGAAACGTTGTTGTTTGCTGCAATGCTAGCTTGTACTAACATCCTCCTTCCCCAAACCTTAACAGGAGAATGTCTTTAATTTGTCCAAACTTTGGTTTATAATCCACAGAAACACCATCAGCCTCAGCTACACATGGTTTAATACTAATTAGGAAATGTTGGCATGCTAACACGCTAAATGATGGCATGCTGATGTTAGCATTTAGCTCAACACACAACTGTGCCTACTTCCATATTCTCAGTCAGTCGCTCTAAAAAGAAAGAAAATTAAAATGTGACACATTTATTTGTCAAAATGTGGAGTAAACTCCCCACAATCGGTTTCTATTTACTGTCAAAGAAACCACTTCCTGTTTTGGGCTGAAGGGGTTAATAAAAAGAAGTAATAATAAAACTAGATAATGTTAAACCTCCGGTCGTACCAGACTAAGTAAGGCTGCAGCAGGAAAACATTTCCAATCAACAAAGTATTGATTAAAATCAATTTTCAGTTATTAATGAAGTCATGATTCAATGTCGGTTGCCGTGACAACAGGTCAAGAGCCTTTGTGGAGAGGAGGGTCAGCTGGACCGGCTGAGGTCCGACCTGAGCCTGCTCAACACCAGCACCGTCAACCTGGAGGGCAAACTGTCAACCGCCAGCCTCAAACCAGGTAGGATAAACACCTGTGTGCTTATTCCATCTTTATTTAACCAGATAATCATTTATAATGACGAGCTGACCACTGAAAGCACTAAAGCTTATAGTTAGGGCTGGATCAGGTGAGTCCTGAACCATCCCTTAGTTATGCTGCTATAGGCCTAGACTATCGGGGGATTTCAGGTTCTTATTGATCCGTGCTTGCTCATGGTGGTACTGTTGGGTCTCTGTAATTAATGTTAAAGAGTTCGGTCTAGACCTGCTCTATTTGAAAAGTGTCCTGAGATAACTTCTGTTATGAATTGGTGCTATACAAATAAAATTGAATTGAATTGAATTGAAGTGGACGTCTGATATGACTACACACCTACACTACGGGGACATCTGGAATTAGCAGGACAGAGTCAGTGAACAGCACGACAGAGGACAGTTTAACAACAGGGAATAAAGTACTGAGGTGGTTTTATTGCCGGCTTTGGCTCCTGGCATCCCGCGGCTAAGTTGGCTAACATTAGCATTAAATAGCATCCAATATCCAACTACAGCTTCTTTTAGCAACGAGTTCATCTGGAAACTCCATAAATCACCTCGGTATCGCTGTCGTCAAACTGTCCTCTGTCCGTCTCAGAGGCTGCTGAGCCCCGTACGGTTACATGTTATCGGAGTAGTATCAGACCTGATACCTGATACCGGTATCGCTGTCTCCCTAGTAAAAGTGTTTCTAGAGGAGTTCAACTCCCAAATTTCTGTAAAAGTCTAGTTCACATTGTTCCTGTGTGTGTTTTACCAACACCGGGGATTGTTTTGTCCTCAGGACTTCCTGGTCCTCCGGGTAGAGATGGACGTCCAGGAGAGAAAGGTGAGTCAACTTTAAGCAATTAAAAGATAAAGTTTGAAGCTGAAGTCAGAATAAAATTAAGTGTGGTCGTGTTCAGCAACCAAAGTGGACGTTTCTCTCAAAATCATCTGAACTATTATATATATATATATATATATATATGCCAGATTTTATGACCCCTGATATGAGACTGGTTCAGACTCCGAGCGACAAAACAACCAAAATAAAAGATTATCAGTGTAACCATAAAAAACTAAAAGTTTAAATTGTAATTGCATTGGTTTTACAGTGTAAATATATTAAATTAAACATTAAAAAGACAAAAAAACCCACAAGAATTTATGTAAAAGCAAAGCTAAAAACTGTATTTTAATCATAAAAAAATTAGTTATTTTCTGTTATTTTATAGTATTTTTGGCACCCAGCTGCAGGAATATTATCGTTTTCATACCCTTTTTTTTTTTACAGTGTGTGAAGTTAATTTCATTACGACTGATTTAGGGGTATGTGTGCGGCAGGAGGCATTAGCTTTCAGCTGCAGGTCCGCTGATGATCCCGGCGTTGATGACCTGTCATCTGTTGTCAGATGGCTGATGAAAACCGGCTGACGGATGGGCTGCAGCCATTATCTCACACACCCTCACAACTTAGTCAGCGCACTGACATTTCCTGTATGAAGTCTCTATCGGGGTGAAATACTCAAGTCTGAGGCAGATGTTTTCCAATAGGTCAATGCCCCCCCCCACCTATTCAGCATTTCAATTATTTTAATGAAGGGAAATTTACTTAACTGAATAAATGAAATACAAAACAAAGTAAATAATGTGAAAATGTTACAGATTTTTTAAAATCCTGGCTACGACCGGAGCCCCATACAAACATATATGCTAAGTTTCCCTATTTGCAGGATGATATTGGGTTACAACTACATTATCATGTGTTATTAACCATTTATTAAATGTTTATACAGAAATAATATGACTGTCGCTCTTCACCAGACTCCATAGACAAAAACGCCAATTTAACCTGGCAGATACAGCTGCTTATAGGTGTCCACAGGAGGAAGTAATGTTGTTAAAAAAATACATAATAAACACTTATATGGGGTTACAATTACATTATAATGTGTTATAAAACATTTATTACAGCATTTTTTAAGATTTTGGTGGTTTCCCGATAAATCACGTTTTTAAAAAATGGGTTTATAGCATCTTATTCTTCTGCCAGGAGTACTTGTAAAAACGTTTTTACGTCATGTCAGAATAATGTTTTTTGTCGTTGCTTTGTTTTTCGAAATTAAAAATATATTTAAAGTGTATGACAATATTATTATTATTGTTAATATTAAGGATCCCTACAGAAACAGCCGCTCCCCACCAGACTCCATAGACAAAAACACAGATTTTACCTTACATATACAGCGGCCACAAAACAAAACATAACTTAAAAAAGAAAAACACTATAAGCTGCCATAAAGTACGTATTACGTAAGTATTTAAGTATTCAAAGCGATATTTCTCAATGTTCTGTTGCACAAGTAGGAAACAAATTGTCCCTAATTGTTGTGTTATAAAGTTATAACTGTTAATATACACTAACGCTCTTTAAAAACTATATGGCTGCCTGTTACGGGGACTGAAGCTTTGCTGTGCAGGTTGCTGAGGATATTTCAGTGACACCCTGACCTTTCCTGTAGTTTCAACAAAATCTAGATCTGATCAGCAGATTTATTAAATATGCTGACCATACTTCCTGAGGGGGTGACTGTTCTGGCCTTCCTTCCATCAGGTTAGATCAGGGTAAACTTTCAGTTCAGGATTTGAGAACTTCCGTGTACGCATGTAAAGAGTGTTGTAAGAGCTAAAATTTTTACTTTTACTCAGGTTGTTAAGTACAAATTTGAGGTACTTGCGTACATTTTCTACACCACTACATCTCAGAGGATAGTATTGAATAATATAGTACAGTTTTTCTTTCCCTTCCTGTCCAGCGAGTTTGACCCCTGAAGCTTTAACATCTACAGTAAAATGCAACGTACACATTAATGCAGCAAATGCCATTAAAGTCACTATCACTCTCCACCAGACTCCATAGATAAAAACGCTAATTTAACTCACAAATCATCAAAACTTCATTCAAAGTGGACGGAAACAAATCATTCATATATAACCTTTAATTAAGGTTTTGAATGCAGTCTCTTTATTTTGGTAGTGAAACTGTCGAGCTGTTACTCACCTGTATGCTTCCTTCCAGGTGACGCCGGTGTCGCTGGACCTCCAGGAGAGAAAGGTGACGCCGGACTCAAGGGAGAGCCAGGAAATGCCGGTGAGATTGTAGTTTCATTATAAATTATTTGTGGAGTAATGTGCTTGTTGTTATTCTTGAAGCTGTACGAGACACACTTTCTGTTTCTTTAGCTCGGAGCTTTAATCATAAACAGTCCCATCCACAGTAACTGAGAGGCTGTCGGGCACTTCAGTGCTCACGAGAGCTGACAAACTGAATGAAAAACAAACTGTGACATCCAGACGAAGCATCCATCCGAGAAAAAAACTCTGAAATCTCTGTCTGCTTTAGGCTCAATGTGGCTTTTATTATAACTCACTGTAGCACAAAGCTAACTCTCTGCCAGCTTCATGCTCAGTGTTGTACCAGGTAGCTCATTAGCATATGCTAGCTCACTGGTCACTTTAACTGAATTATCTCAACAGCTGTTATATGGATTGTTATGAGATTATTGTACAAACATTCAAGGTGTCAAAACAGCCGGCACTATTAAATAAGTCAATAGTATTGAGTCTTATAGAGAAATAAACTGACTTCTCGGTTAATTTATGAGCTCAGTAAACAGTTTCCTGATGAGTTTCTGGTCTCAGTCTCTAGTTTCAGTCTTCTTGCTGTGCTGATCAGATATGGATCCACACTGTAAAATAAATGTAACTCAGAAACATTGAGGCAACATTTTCCAACCGTATATTTAGTTGGAAAAACTCCCCAAAACACAGTCATTTTAGAAAATTGAGTTGAGTCAACATGAAAAAAGCCAAAAAAAAAAAGAGTTAAACCAACTTTATTAAACAAATTGAGATGCATCAAATGCAAAAGTCATTTTAAATCCGTTTTAATAACTTTATGTTTTCTGTGTATTGCTTCCAGTTTACATTGAATAATTAAAATGCAGTTGAACAGCTAATTTGTTGTTGACATTTAATCATTTAAGCAGAAGAAAACATCTTTCTTTTTGTTGTCATTGTCGATTCAGGTTTCAACGGGTTAAATTTAAGACTTTATAAGATACTATAAACACAATCTAAGACCTATTTTACGTCACATATTGGCAAAAAAAGCAGAAATTATGTGAAGGAAAATCATTATTAGTTTTGTTTTCTAGTTACATGATGAATACACATTTCTCCCAAAAACACTTTTAAAATTCTAATCTCAAATAGACTCAACTAAGCAACTTTATACAAATTCATTAATCCAGTCAATTTATAGGACCTGTTCAAATCATATTCTTTGATGTTTCACACCCTGTTATTATTATGTGGTATTAAACTGGACAATATGTTCCTCATACTGTGTGACTCACTTATGGACTCACAGTAACACCAAATTATATTTCCTGAAACTGACACAGGAGCTTCTCTGGATGGAAACATAAAACATCTGATTCAGCATATTGTTGTTATGAAATAGTTCAGTTTCTCTTCCTCCTTTTATCTTCTGGTCATAATCCATAATTCTGTTGACACGCTTTTATTTTCGTGGGATGAATTTATGTGCATCAATAACCATTTGTCAACATTGTGACTAAACACATTGTGAATGTAAGCTGACTGTAATAAAACTGCTGTTTATTATATACAGTAAAATATTATATATGAATATGTAATAAATTAAAGCTCCTGTTTAAATCAGTGAATTGGAGCAGAAATCTTTCACTTAACATAATGCTAACTCTATTTCTTTTAGCATTTAAAATCCATTTTAACATTAATTTTCCATTGAAGTTAATGGAGGGCTAAATAAATAATGTTAATAACTGGACAATAATAACAATAGCTGTTTGTTAAATATAAAATATTAACATTTTAAGGTGTGCTAGAAAACTTAAAAAATATACACAGCCACCCACCTTAAAGACATACTGTACGTTTAAGTTGAATTATATCATAATTACTTCCTTACATAATCCTCACTCTGTGTGTGACTGCAGGTCCCAGCGGTCCACCTGGGCCTCGAGGAGAACCTGGGAATCAGGGACCAGGTGCCAAGGGAGAGAAAGGAGATCCCGGAGCCCAAGGTTAGGTTCTACCCTGTAAAGAAGTAAATTCTCCTGAGCCAGACTTTAATGTTTGACCTGTAAATCCTGTTCCTGTGCTTCGATCGCAGGCCCTCCTGGAGAGAAAGGTGACTCTGGGATCCCCGGCCATATAGGTAGGTATACGTGTGACATGCTGCGTATGTAAACGTGAACTCGTGTGTGACATACTAAATAAATGTTTGTTGATTTTTTGTGCACAATCAGGACCTCCTGGTATTCCCGGGTCTGCAGGACAAAAAGGAGACCCTGGAAGTTCTGGTCCACCGGGACCTCCAGGTCAGCTGTTTAACATCTGATAATCAATATCATATAATATAACTGTGTCATAGCAAGCTTCCTGCCTCATCAATGCAGCCACACAAATATAAATGTTTAAACTTCTGTCAGTATGTACATAATGAACATCGTTAGATCAGTTAGATTCTCCACATTTCAATCGTTCAATATATTTTACGAAAACTATCAACTACAAAAGTTTAACGTTAATTCATTCTGACTTACTGGTAACACGGTAAACAAAAAAAACCTCTGAAGCATCATAATCATCATGTTAGTTGTCAAATTTGCTGAACAAATCTCAAGAGAAGCAGCAGCTAGAGTTTAGTTTAGTTTTGTGCAAAAGGAATTAAAGGCCTGTCCCAAATAGAGGCCTGTCCCCAATAAAGGCAGGGGGAGTTCAGTGATTTAAGCAAATAAACGCCCGGGCTATTATTAGAAGTTTTACAGTATTAACATTCTGCTCCAGTGATTCGGAAACTGTAGATTTAATCCTCTCGTGGTGTCTCGTCATCAGGTGTACCTGGACCTCCTGGTTTCAATGGAACTCAAGGTGAGCTTTCTTATACGTTCCAGAAAACACCTAAAAAACATTATAAACATTTTATTTGTTACGGTATGATCAGGACACATTGTAGGAAGCTGGATCGATATTGAAATATCAATCAATACTTAAGGTCTCAGTGTGACGGACTCAGTTGATGTGAACTGTCAGTTGGTTGATGCTGATTCATTATTGGACTGTTTTTCCTCCGCAGGTCTCCCAGGACCACCGGGTCCAAAAGGAGACAGTGGCGACCGAGAGTGTAAGTCTGCAGAGGAGCTGATCTGAGAGCAGCTCAAAGGACAAACTTACTTATAAAATCCCACTTTTAGCAACTTTATACCTTCAACTGACCTTAAAATGTCTGAAATGAGGTTTGATGTTTGACCACCATTAAGGAAATTAATAGAATAACAGACGCTGCGTTTTTATCATTTCCTCAAATGTCTGATGACATCAGAGATGTTGAAATGGAATAAACAGGAAGTAAGAGAACAGCTCTGCATCATTAACACTAATTTAATCTCTGACTCAGACATTCTAACATTAGCCTGTTCAACCGCAACGCTGACCACAAGCTGCTTACAGATACACTTTATGTAAAGGATAACACATAACTCAGTAACACCTGAGGCTCTGACTAATACCTGGAAGAATCATCACCATCCCATAATGTTTTAATGCAATGGAAACGTTGTTCACTGCTCCAGTAAATAGGACGAACCATAGAGACGACTTGGCGACGGAGAGCAGAGAGCTAACGTTGTACTAGCAAGTTTAAAAGTCAGTAACACTGCGTATGGTCGAGGAACTGTAAATATACTTTAACAGTATGTTAAGTTAGAGCTAGCTATCAGCCCCGTTACTGTCTCCCAGTATGTGTACAGACAGCTTTTCTATTAATTGATTTAAGGTTCCTTGAACAGTGAATCCAGTCAGTATTTAACACCGCACCAACCAAACAGCTACCAGGAACTTTAAACCGCTCTTCTGTGTCACCGCAGTGAATGTGCGCCTCGTGGGGGGACAGTCCCGCGGGCGAGTGGAGGTGAAGTACAACGGGGTCTGGGGAACCGTGTGTGACGACAGCTTCGACACCGTGGACGGGAAGGTGATCTGTAGGATGCTGGGCTTCCAAGTGGCTGTCAGCACCTACACTGCCCCCCCGGGTAAGACGTCCGCCGCCACCATCACGCCATGTTCTCTCCAAATAATTATCCTGTAATGATTAACAGAAACCCTGCATTTTATTTCTTCTACACTGAGACTTTGACTTTACCAACGATTACAGGAGTGTTCGATGGCACTTAAAGGCTGTTGGTTATTGTTTCTATCTGTTATGATCACATTGTAGTCATTGAATCATATCTGGACTCTATGGAAGCCTGTTTCTGCCAATGTATTATGTATAATGTAAGTATTGTCAGTATGATGAGAAACTTTTCAAAATATTGATTTAGTATCTCAAAATAATGACTCTGAGACACTAACTCAACATTTTGATATATTAAGTCAATATTTTGATATATTAAGTTATTATAATGACTTAAAGAATCTGTTGTATCCCCGTCATATTGGCAGAAATGGGCTGCCATATATTGATTGACCTACTGTGTATATTTTTAAAGTTTTTATACACGCCTTAAACTGAACAAGGCCTGAAGCTTTGGCGACCCCTAGTGGGGGCCCCAATAATGAATTACATGATATCAGATCAGTACATAGATTGGTGCACTCGCTGATAAGTGGCACATTTTAGGCCAGTGACCTTAAGAGGTGTTTACTTGAACTTTGGACAGTCGAGATGACGTAACTCGTCAAATAAGCACAATTCCTAAAACGGTGCTTTCCTTTAATGGGAGGGAGACTTTTCGTTTGTTAGCGTTGTACCCGACCACCGTCTGACCACACAGTAAACGTTCTCCTTCCGCAGGCACTGGTAAGATCTGGCTGGATGATCTGCGGTGCACAGGGAGAGAGACCGACATCTTCCAATGCCCGCACGCCGGATACGGAGTGAACAACTGCCAACACAACGAGGACGTCGGCTTGCAGTGTGTGTAGACTGAAGGCTCATTGTCATTATTAATGTTGATTAATATGCTGTTTGTTATTATCATCATCATAAGAAAACAACAACAACAATCAACATTAATATCCAGGATGTATAAATATAATTATTATGTGTTATCTCATTAAACAGATTGAATGCTAAAGAACAGGCTTTATTAAAGTGGACAGCTTTATCGATCATTCCCCAGGAAGGAAACAAATATATCTGAGTGTGAATTAAAGTCAGACAACATCAGATACTCTAAACATGTCTGGTCTTTACCCGGAGAACGGGTAACGCCGCCCTTATTTGCCCCCCAGCCAGAGGCGAGGACAGTAGCCTGAAAGGAACCGCGAGGTGGTCGGCGTTCATGAGGAGACGTATATGTCACATATTAAGCAGCATGTAAACTTAAATATGTCGAATTATTTGAGCAGATTTTTAATATTACAGACATTAAATCTGATAAATTTTGTTCATTTTGGGGGATTTGCTTTCATTCATACACTTATTAAAGATGTTTAAGACTTTAAAGTTTGTGACGAGATGAAACTGATTTAATAATGCTGCCCCGAGAGAAACGAGCGGTTTCAAGAGGAAGAAACTCCAACAGGTGATACAGGGAGTTTGTTCAGACACAGAAAGGAGAGAACAGAGAGAAACATCAGTATTACATCATAACACAAGTTACAGTGAGTGAACTGAGCTACAGATAAGAAACTCTCGGTTGAAACATCTCAACCTTGACTGCTGTGGTATGTTGGTGAGGGAACGGTTACATTTCTACATAACACTGTACAGAGTCATCAGAGTTACAGGAGAACAGTGGAGTCAGTAGTTTTCCATCACACAGCTTTAATGAGCTGACACAGTAAACGCCATGCTGGTGAACATTTTAGATGATACTGTGACGTCCCATTCCCCTGAAGGCAGCACGGAGCAGCACTACAGGAAGTGAACTAGAGCTATATACGAACACTGACAAGTTTTAATATTCAGACCTTATTCTGTCCGTGTGTTATTGTAAACTCATCTTAAACAGTAACGCCCCCCAGGAGCACCTGAACGCCCCCCAGGAGCACCTGAACGCCCCCCTTTCCTAAACACTGCTTCCAGCTAAACAAACTGATGAGTGTTGGATGTGATGAACGTGGGGTGACAGGCTGCACACTGGGGATATAAGCACAGCTGCTAATGATGTTCACAGCTGGATCTCATTTACATATTCATAAAGTTTAAATGACATTCTTTTTACTGAACACATTAACGAGTGAACGAGTGAACGAGTGTAAACAACAGATCACGCTGATGAAACTTAAAGTGTCTCCGGTCTCTGCTGGTTGACACCCGTCACTTTCTGTCCTCATCGATCTCCCCGTCTTCCTCCGCTCGGCTCGGCCTCTCTGGCCTTCGGCGACACGCTCGCCGTCGCCTTCCGTCCGTCGCAGCGTAGCCTTTTGCAGAGGTCAGCAGAGATGAAGAGGGGTCACGTTCAAGGACGGGAGTCGTGCTGAGGAATGGTTTCTGACACAGCTGGCTCCGTCACGTTGGTTTTTTTTCCCAGAAGCCTCAGGGAACGTACGAGTGGCTTCACAGCTGACAGCCGCTGAGTGAGTGTATTATGTTCTGTATCACGTTATCTTCTCTGCTGCCTCAGAACACAGAATCCGATCAGAATTCATTTATTGATTCCTTTATTTCCTCTTTTACTGAAATGAAACAGAAATCAGCAGTTTGCTTCCTCAGACACTGAATGTGTGTTATATGGAACAGTTACAGCTGACGGGGCCGAATGCAGCGTCTGATGTTGATGGAGGACAGTTTGAAGGACTGAGGTGGTTTTTTTCCGGGTTTGACTCCCGGCATTCCCATGTTAGCTGCATGAGCTAACCAGCTAACAGCACTGAACTTTAGGCTTTTGGTTTTTGTCTGTTTGCTTCCCCCCTCACCCCCCCCTCACCCTCTCTCACCCTCTCTCACCCCCTCACCCTCTCTCACCCCCCCCTCACCCTCTCTCACCCTCTCACCCCCCTCACCCCCCCCTCACCCTCTCCCACCCTCTCTCACCCCCCCTCACCCTCTCTCACCCTCTCTCACCCCCTCACCCTCTCTCACCCCCTCACCCTCTCCCACCCTCTCTCACCCCCCTCTCACCCCCTCACCCCTCTCTCACCCTCTTGTCCTCTCTCACCCTCTCTCATCCCCTCACCCTCTCTCACCCCCTCACCCTCTCTCACCCTCGCACCCTCTCTCACCCTCTTTCACCCCCTCACTCTCTCACCCTATCTCACCCTCTCTCACCCCCTCACCCTCTCACCCTCTCTCACCCCCTCACCCTCTCTCACCCCCTCACCCTCTCCCACCTTTATTCTAAGGAAACTAATGAATCTTCGCTCTGTGCAGCTAAAAGTTGAAGATTGATTGACAGGTGAGTGTCAGATATTATTGGTTGAAATCAGTTAGTTCACATTTAGTTTCACAGGAAGACACACTGATTGGAGTTTATATAAAAATACATTGTTTTTGTGAATGTTTTTGGCATAAATTGTTAAATATGGGAACAATATAACTGAGGATCTTAAAGGGTTAAAATGATGGACTTAATAATAAAATGCACATTATTCCTTTAGCAGTTGAGTTTTGAGGAGCAGGACGGACAGGAACCCGCGTGCTGATGTATTACCTCATTATCACACATTTCATATCGCTGTAATTCAATCAGCTCTATTGTGACTTTTCTTTTTTTAAAGATACTTTCTGTCAGAGTTGTTTTATTTCCTTCTGGTTGCCACTGGAGGCCGATGAGATCAAAGATTAATACGAAAACTCTCCAATAAAAAATGAAATGCTGGTTTTAATCACGACTGACTGATGACTGATGAACGAGAACAAATTGGAATTCGGAGCGGAGACATTTCATTTCGGGGCCGCTCGGCTGCCGCAAATGGATTGGCCGCCACGAGAAAGCGAGGCGCCGTTAACAGCACGACTGGAGCTCGCTGGAGCTCGCACTCGCACGCCGTGGCGAGGAGGGACTTGATTCACAAGCCGATCCATCTGCCTGCTTTTCCCTTCGGGGGGGGGGGGAGGCAGCCTGACTCACACCGCCATCATGTCTCCCTGTAAGTCGGCACACCTCCCATCCTCCCCTCCGTCTTCCTATCCGTATGCAGAGGCGGGAAACGGGAGCAGGCGAGGCGTATTAAGACTACAAAGTGCTGATTGTAATTCAGCAGCCCGGTCCCCTCCTGGGGCCCCCTGCTCTGGGTGAACGCTGGAAATAAACATGAGGGGGGTCTCACTCCGTTGTTCATTAGCCAGACCAACCCCAGGTCACCCGGGCCCGCTCCCTGGCCCCCAGAACGCTGCCTGTAATTGAGGGCTGACGTGGATAAATAAATGATGGGAGCGAGGGAGGGGGGTGGGGAGAGAGGAGGAGTGGGTGACAGAATGGGTAATGGGTAATGAGGGTGCCCTCGCTGTCCTCCCTCACCTGTGTGAACCGCTGCCGTACCGCCGCAGACTCTCTGAGCAGCCGAGACGTTTAGGAAGATATTCATGAGCCATTACTGCATATTACCGGGTCCTCTGAGTCACCACAGACCCCCCCCCGCGTGAGTCCATCAGCCGGTACGGTGCCGGGAGACGGACGGCAGCCTCAAGTTTCACAGCATTAACGGTAGAAGACGCACAAAGACCTGCAAATGACTGATAGTGTAACTGTAACATAAAGCTCATTAATGACGTCTGCCATTGGAGGGACAATCTCATGTTCCCATAATTCTCCTCTCCTCTTTCCAGAGTTTTTATAGTTTCCATTTTTACTTTTTCAGTTAAGGGTCCTCACTCTTTTAAAGAAATCCTTTTCCAGGACGACGACTGCCAGAGTCAATAAATAAGTTGAATTTATTTGACAGAAAATTCATCTTCTCACCTAAAAAAGTCTGATAAAGACGCTTTTTAGTGTCATTATCCAACCGAGGGTTGAGTTTCAAACTAAATATAGTGAGGGGCTCAAACACAATTAATGTTTAACAGCATATTTAATCAATTTCCAGGTTTTTCCATGACTGGAAAACTAGTCTCCAATTTTCCAGATTTTCCAGGAATGCCTGAGAATCCTGTGAGTTTAGTTTCCAGAGTGTGTTCGCTTTTTATTGTTTAAAAATGTTTAACTTTGTATTAGTTTCAGTGTCAGTTTGACTGTGAGGACACTCTGTGAACATCCTGGTCTGGTTGTTGTTGACACTCGCTGGGTTTCTGGTCGGAGTGAATCAGTGTCTGGAACAGCTGAAGGAAAGCGATCACTGCTGTCGCTGTAATAACCTTTGGTGACAGCTCCTGGCTCTGTTTATCCAGCATTTTGTTGTACTTTGTCCCTTGTTGCTGCCTGTAGCAGCCTCAGCCAGTTACCCCCCCCCTACAGGTCTTCTCTTGTTTCTAGAATAGCTGTTTTCAGTTGGTTTCATGCCCATTGGATTATGTTTTATGCATAATTTGTGTTACTTTCCACCACTGAGTTCCCCTCCACTCTGTAATTAAACACTCATAGATTCTCCTCGGGCTGAACGCCGGCGTTGGCCGTGTGCTTTCATTTCCATCTCTGTTGAAAGGCATATCACTCAATGGCATCACACAGTTTGGAAAAAGAAGAGCATTTTTCTTACCTTTCGGTACAATAGGCTGTCAGAAGGCTTAGCGCGTGTGTCCGTGACAAAGCGGCGTCCGTGGGAGTGAGGCCAGCTGGATGGTCCTGCCGCGCCGCAGCGTCGTCCCAATGACAAATCATCTATCATCCTCCATCTCCAGCTGAGGGCCCCGCGACTGGAAGACAGGGTCAGGCCCGTGCACGAAGACGGGCTTAGCCAAGACCCGTCAAAAGCTGACAGTACCCACCATGCCGTGCATGCCAAAGGACTGCCCGGCGTATCAAGGGTAGCCATCCTCCTCTGTTGGTTAGGAAGAAACTCTAGAGGAGGTCGGTGACTCCTGTTCTCCTCGTTGTGAACAGGTGTTACATACAGTCTTTTTTTGTTAAAAAAATAAAAGTAAGATCAATATTTCTCATCTCTTTAGAGTCCAGATGAAATTTAAAAAAATGATATTTTAACCCTTAAAGATCACAATTTTTATTTTTATACTAAACTCCAATCATTGTGTCTTCCTGTAGAACTAAATGTGACGCGTGTTTACCTCAGCATGAACTAACTGATTTCAACCAATAATATCCTGATACTCACTCGTCAATTGATCTTCAACTGTTAGCCACACAGAGCGAAGATTCATTAGTTAGATAGCTAGCTAACAGCATGGCTAGCTAGCACTGATTACTCTACAAAAACAACTTTATGAGAACCAGCCTCCGAGACGGATCGAGTTTGACGACAGTTCACAGACTTGTTGGTAAAAGTATAAACGCCACTAACGGTAATGTTAGCTGTCGTTAGCTAGTCAGCTCATGCAGCTAACATTGGAGTACCAAGAGTCAAACAGGGTAAAATACGTCCTCTGTACGGTGTCCCTGTCCTCAAACT